TTTATACATATGCAAGTATATATATACTGAATTACATTATTGTTTAATTTTTTTCGTCCGTTTTTTCACAATTCGCAGATAATTAAAAAAAATACATAAATATATGTTTTTGGTCGCAAATTACTTGTTGTAAAAAACTGAAATGAGCATAGCTTTTAGTATTTAGAAAATTTTAAAAATCACCCCTACTTAGGGGTTGAAAAAATGGCAAAAATGAAGAATTTGTATATTACCAATTGATATAAACACTAATAGTATGTGAATTATCTTAATATATTGTTTTGGAATGTTTACAATTATGTCTGATATTCTCTATTTTTGGGGATGATTCCACCCCCTGAGCGCGCTTAAGGGTGGATTTTCTAATTCAACAGGCTTATTTCAGTCATGAGAATAAATCTTTCTTTGTATTAAGAATCATTCGATAGAAAAATTCATATGCTAATAGTTTTTATATTTATTGGTAATATTCAATTCTTCATTTTGGGCGTCTTTTCAACCCCTAAATAGGAGCGATTTTTGAAAATTAAAAAAAAAATAAACTAAAAAAAACATATTTTTATCTGTTTTCTTTAGTTCTCTGCGAATTATGGAAAAACGGGCGATTTTTACAATTATAAAGCTGTGATGCTGACCTGAGTACATAATTTATTACTCCTTGCTTTCTTTTATCAATTTTATAAAAAAAAATCAAACATTGAAACGAAGGGAGCAGCTTAAATAGGTATTTTCTGAAGTCATTATTTCCTTTACTTCATAAAATTGTTTTCTATTCCAAAAAATATATCTCTGTTTTGTTTTCCACCTGAATAGTTTTTATATGTTAATAATTTTATTGGCGATTTATCAGGCAGCTCGCTTGGTTGACTGACGACGCCAATGGCCAGCGGACCGATTGTGACAGCTCTATAAATAAATAAATTAGACTTTATTTATTATTCTAACAAAAATGTAATATACTAGGATGAATCATCCGTTATCCTTGTAGGTTTGTACAAACATATAGACGTTAAAATTGAAATCCCACTTTTAGAAATACTCTTTGTATGTGATTTGATGGTACTGGAAAGGAAAATCCAATTAACCAGTTTCTTTTTTTTAACAACGTAAATTTAAAGAAACACGACATTTTTAACAGAAAGATAGGGTGTTATTAACAGCATGTACTTCAAAAATGGTTGAAAACTGAGCCTGGCCTTATCACTACGTTCACGCAGGAGTATTTTTCTACGTTGGCGATAGCGACGGTGACGTATGGGCGACGTGACCCCGGCCTAAATTCGCGTACACATTTTACATCGGCCCGCGCGCCAATTCCTCCCCCGGGCTGAGCTCGAACGATCGCCCGTGACGTCAGGGGCGAGTGGGGGCGGCGGCAAACGGAATCGGGGGCGGCACCGACGTTGGTTCCGCCGCCGCCACCGTAATTGATTTAAGGCGCTCATCCGCCTAGATAACGGCTCGCCGGCCACTAAGTGGGCGCAGTTAATTCTCGCAAATGCCTCGACTAATTTGAATTATTTGCATATACACACAGTCAGCTATATGCAAGAAGGTATTGGCGGTGTAATTATAAATGTAAATGGTTTTTGTTAATGGTATGCACGTGAAAACGTGTTTTGTCGAATACTGTTTGGAAAATCAATAGGATTTCTCTTTTAAAAAAATGCAAAATGAGAGAGTAAAATTCAGGATGTAATAATAAAGGATGATTTAAAGAAAAAAATGGAGAAGAAAAGAAAATAAAAAGACATTTATTTTAAAAACATTTTATTATTAGCTCTTGCAATGTTTACTATATTTCAAAGGTACTTAAGAGGGTTCCATAGTAAATAGGCAACCAGCAATACATTTTTATAGATTTTATTACACAGTTTGTCTAAATATGAATCAATGCGCAAATAACAGACTTTCCCCCATTTTAACGTAGATTCCATACAATGAACTTACCGCTTTTGAACAAGCGGCATCGTAAATTACAAATTTCTTTGCACCAAAAAATTATTTGAGTTTCAAACTAACTCCATTTTATATCGGCCCGCGTTTGAATGGAGGAAAGTCTGTTATTTATGCATTGATTCATATTTAGACAAACTATGTAATAAAATCTATAAAAATGTATTGCTGATTGCCTATTTGCTATAGAGCCCTCTTAAGCTAACTCAAATAAATAAATAAACTCATTTTTTTATTTAACCTTATCAAATGAAGTAAAAAAATGTACTTGATACCAGAAGTCTAGGTATGTCAAGATATCTAACCACAGACAAAACTTCAAATTCCTGATATTACGAAAAATAACCACTCTAGGGCTCCCATTAGTATTGCACCTACTAAATAGCTATACAATAGCAAGATAGTTACACAAAAAAAAATTAAAATGGTATGTCTAAATATAATTAATAAGGCTGTCAGAGAGAGCCGCAACTCAATGGCGTGCCAAGCGGGTCAACCGAGACATGCGTGAGCCGCTGCCTCATTATGCTTTTCACGTTCACGTCACATTAGTATACTGTTGAATTTGTTATCGTGCGGATGTTGCGTAATTAATTCCTATCCTCGTTGATGTATATGGTGGTGTATTGTAGACTATTTAATTTGTTGCTTTTTAATAAATAATGCGTATGCCCATATCCCGCGGTTTAGTTCTGACAGCTAATTAATACAGAAACACATACTAACATATTGAAATTGTTATATAATGTAATCACTGAAATAAATATCTTTTATTTCTGTTGTTCTATTATAACTCCTATCAAAGAGTCATGACGTAAAAACAGCTATCACAAAAAGATTCTTTTGTTCCACATTTTACTTGGCATTGTTTAATCAAGGGAACATTTTTCAATTTATAGAAAAAAAACACTTGCCCTGCTTGTGCTCAAATGTCCGTTTCTTTAGAGCTTAATAATTCACTTAAGAAAAATTTTAAAATGTTTAAATTAAAATTTGGTAATTTTATAAATGATGCTGTTTAATGAAAACGATTTGGAACATATTTTTTATCCTGAAATTTAGGTCATAAAAGCAAATTTTCATTTTAGACAGTATTATTATTTTTTTATCTTTTCTTACAAAGAAAAGATACTTAATCTACATAAGATGTAGAAATAGAAAAAAACAAAGGTAAACCGATCACTGTCAAATTTCGAACATTGTAATTCCGAAAACTTTTTAATAAATTTTATAAGAAAATGGGGTTTTACCTGCATCAAGAATTGTTCCTCTTACAAAACCAACTTAATTTCTTGAAATAAATATGTTTTTTCGATAAAATAAAAAAATAAATAGTGTTTACAAGTCTGCATGTCCTAAAAGACCTAGTTTTCGAAATATTTCGAGAAGTTTTTGAAAGATATCACTTCTACACAAACTTCTCGGTATTGGATGTAGATTAATGAAACTTAAACTGTTCGAGTTAATATTATTTTCCTATCTTTTCGTTAAAGATTCTGAATTTCTGTATGTTTCTGTGTAGTTTTCAAGTATATCTGCCACTGATTATCAGATTCGTGTAGCTGACAAATTTTCAAATCATTAGCACAAGTTTCCAAATCTACGCGACAGAGTATTTCATTAACACTCTGTATATCTACGTTCCAAATATCGATTTTACCATACTCCATAGTACAAAAAAATATCAAAATTAACTTAGATAAATGAAACCAAAAATTTAATTTGAGTTAATATTAAAATTTAACATTAAACAGTTGATATGAACGAATGTCGGACTTGCAGCATATTGACACACCAGGCAAATATCATTTTTGGCTCCCTTATGATACTGTTGCAGTTTTATGAACACAACTTCCAAATGATCACTTGTTGAGTGTCACTTTTTAGTTGTGGCATTATTTTATGTCCACAAATACTTCACGAACTTAATTACTTCACGTCTGCAAGACAGAATAAATCTGAGGCCTTCGAAGTGAAACTGGACGTGAAGTAAATAAGCACGCGAAGTTTTCGAGGATGTAAAGTAATATAACATCTGAAATGTGACATCAAATCAAAGATTAACAAAGCGGAGCCAAATCATAATATAATATCATCAAATCATGATATAAATATAATTAATAATAATTAATATGTTAGAGTCGACTGAAAAATGTAAAATGCGATCAAATGCTGCATTTTTACAGCTCCGCCAGCTTATTGCGCATACTCGTCCATTAACAATGCAACTTTTTGGCTTCGATATACAGGGTGTCCCATTAATATTGCGAAAAAAATCTGGGTGAGTTTCCTTGACCAAAAATAAGAAAGACAGTTCCTATAAACCTATGTCCGAAAATGCTTTGTTTCGGAGATACAGGGTGTTGAAATTTAAAGAAAATAGAAGGTTTTTACTAATATCTGGAGAACCCTAATTTCGATTTTTTTGAAATTTGGTATGTTTGTTTATAAAAACGGTAGACGTCTTCTAATGTAATTTGATTTATTTTATCTATTCCAGCGGCGTCCGGGGACTCACTTAATGGCAATGGGATGTCCTCCAAAAAGTCGAAATTTTACGTAAACCTTTATTTTGTTTCAATAGATGTTTCCTGCATTTTAATTTTAAAAAAATGAATTTAAATGCTGTTGAAGGAAAAAGTGGTTATACTTAATGGGGAAGATACTATATAGGGGAGGTAATGATTCATTTTGCATCTCAAAATTGGTTTACGAGATATGACAACTTCTTTGGACAAGCGATATTTAGACACTTGCTATTGTTAAATTTTTCAATTTCTTTGTTTTAAGCCTTTCATGTATGGTGCTGATATTCTAAGCGTACATTTTTGATAGTATAAAATATAAAATGACAGTTTTCAACAATGTTACGGAAAAACGTAGTATATGTAAAAATGCCAATATTTGGGAGAACACCCATATTTGCGAATACAACAAGTGAACAAGTTATTGATAAACTCGTCGACTGATGATAACATCTACACCCCTCTATATATACGCTCGCAAGCCTATCTCAAATACAACCCATGTTCCGATATATTATACTGGTTGGTGCGACGCTAAGTCAGTTTAGTAAAAAAAGGTGCGGACATCAACATGCACTCACTGCTACTGTAAGTTGATATCTTAAGTGCATATGGCCCGTGTATCGATGAGTTGATCTTAAATTTTTAGTGTTGCGTCGTTGCTGATCGGTAATAGTTGTAGAAATATGAAATAAATGACGATGAGTATAAAAGAATGTTTGTAGTTATTTTACAACTATTTTCGTAATTTTTGGTCTTTTTATAATTATAATTTGTTATTGTTCTCGAAGAGAAGCAGTAAAAATCAGTAGGCTAATTCATTGTTAAATTTTAGCTCACTGTTAGAAATATCAACTTTATTTATTTAAGAAAATTTTAAATAAATAACTTAATGCTCCAATATTATATACAGGGTGATTCAGTTTTTTGTGGTAGAATTTTAACAGTTGATAGAGAATCATTTTTAATAAGAAAATTTCCCGTAAACGTAGATCTTAGAATGCTTCATTTATGAGATATAGGGTGTTGAAAACCACCTTTTTTAAGAATTTTTCTTAATATTTCTAAAACATCAACAGATATTAAACTGAAATTTGGTATTACTAACACATTAGTTATGGTGATTAAAACAAATATATCTGTTATCTATTTCACCCACCAGTGACGTGCCTGAGTTGGGTTACTGCCAAATTTAAAAAAGTAATTCGTAATTTTTCTGGAAAATAATATTTCTAAATTTTTTAATCAATTCTGAACAAAACGACTCTCTTTCAATTTTTTATAAAATGAAAGGTTCTTGGTTATATTCATTGGGCATGAAATTGGTATAAGTGCCAACTTAAATTTCGAGTCAAACTGAGATAGCATGTTTTTACTTAAAGATCTGAGCTAGCATGTTTTCCAACAGAAATCTGAGATAGCATGTTTTCATACTAAAGCGTCGATTTGTAAATTAATAAGAAAAATATGATGTGCTCTGAAAGTTCTAAGGACTTTTCTTATTAAAAATTGAATCTCTATCAACTGTTAAAATCCTACCACAATAATTGACTCACCCTGTACAGTATCAAGTTTTTTAATTTCGTAATTTATGTATCATAGCAACTGTTTAATAATGTATAAAGTGTTTTATCAACTTATAAAAATAATTCTTTATAATAACTAAAAATTCGTTGATTTCTTTAATCTGTAGTTTTCAAATTAAGTATTTAATATCAAACGAAACGTGTCCAAAATATAGAAATTCATTCCTTGCACAAATTAAAAAGTATTTTTTCTGAAATCGTTCGTAAGTGTGTACTTTTTCGACCCAATTTTATACTCTAGAATTTTAGTTCATTGCTAAGCAACCATCAACAAAGTTAACTTTTCCGTACCGTTTTTTTTCTATATTTTATACAGTAAATACTCATAAATGCACGCAGGAAAACAATTCACATCAAAAATGCATCATTTAGTAAATATTAAACGTTTATTATAACTATTTGTTTATATTTATAGTTATGTTGCAGTGTGCAACCATCAAACATTGGCTGAAATTTACTATAAAAGCCTGGGTTATTATTATTCGACAATATTACTAGTATTGGCATTGGTCTCTTTGTTTCTCCCGCCTCTAAATATTTTATCTGCTGTCTGGTTTATTTGTAAAAGATTCCTCGTTGTGTGTATCAGTGTCAACGGTGGATTCTTCGAACACTGACTTTAAATCATTATTATGAATTTCATTTGTTTTATTGTTAATTGTTGTAATAACACGAAGAGACACTTGGTTTATTTCGCTTTTAATTTCTCGTATTATCAAAACATAGTGTTCGTTAAATCGATTTTTCGAAAACGGATCGAGATACCGAAATGAAACAAGAATACACAATTAATGGAAAAATTATTGCTCTTTCAGGTTTTGAATCAAGTTTCATGTTAGACATACATTGTAAAAAGTTATTAACTAAATTTTCTGTAAAATTGGTCGTAAGTGGCGCCCTCTATGAGCAACGGTGAATTTAAAACACGCATCTTATTCGTCGCCTAAAAAAATATAATTTCACAAATGTTCAAGTTCCTAATCTACATATTTTCAGAATAATCGCAAAAAAAACGATTTAAAATTTTAACTTTCAACACCCTGTATTTCCGAAACTATCTAGGTACTTTCGGAAAAGGCATGTTTGCGTCAATGGTCACCATTTCACGTGTAGTATCTTCAGCTTTCGACTTTCCCATTGTTAATGAATCACCCTGTATACTGGACCATTCCAGGGGTTCTCAATAAGTTTTAATAATTTTGATTATTATTAATTTTAAGTAGATACCGTTTTGCAGTTTCAACAACTTTAATTATTTGAAAATGCTTATTAATACTGCAAGTTTGATAAGTTCTATTTAACATTCACAAACATTTGTACCTTCATTAACAAATAGAACTAGAAATGGAACTACAGATTTAATTCGGAAAAACCAGGATAACTGGAAGGGATTCCGTTTGTTCCAAAGCAAAAAAATCACATTTTAAGTATCGTTCAAAGATGACGTTTTCATTTTTCCCAAAAACAGTTCAACCAAACAATTTGAATGTTTTGTTGTAATATTTTTATTACTTCCCTACGTTCAGAGGGGGTTGAAATGAGCAGCCCATGTTGTATTTTTTTTATGTGGTTCTTTTTTGAATTATTTTTTTGAAATCAATGGTTTAGACGATTTAGAAACTTTTTCTTCTTTAATTTAAAATCCCTGAAATGCAAATATCTGGAGAAGGCTCAGATTTTTAATTATTTTATATGAAAAACCTCCTCCCTAAAAAACACCAGAAGAACACCACTTCCAAATATTTGCACTCCATTTCGGAACATCCTGTATAATTATAGTGGATATTTCAGGTATTTTCAGGCCGTAATTTTCTTAAATGTCTCTGAAGATGTCTGATTACTAGTAAAACTTGGGCTATGATTTTTATAATTATAGTATTTGCTGAATTAGCTTACAAATACTTTAACCAGTGGTGGAGATACAGGAAGTCGGTAGGTATACCACTCGGAACCTCAGAATTTCGACGCCACTGAGTATTTTGGAAATTCGATCAGTGCTTTTAATTTCTAATGGTGTTTTTAAGAAAAAAGTTATCTTCGATTTTATTCGAACAACAAACCGTTTTAGAGTTTAGATGTTTTTATTTTAAGATAAATTCATCAGTACAGTTGAGTAAATTGAAAATAAACTACCTATTTGTGTTACAAATAGAATTTCAAATACAATGTAACCACCGAATGCCCAAAAAGTGCTTGGTTTCTTTAGAAAATTAAAAAAATGTAATTGTTATTAATTTTTTAATTTTTGACGATTGTATTTTATTTAAAATAGAATTTCTGATATTGACTTCCAATAGATTTTTTTTTGTAAAGCGAATAATTTTACAGTTACTTTTATTTTAATGAGTTTATTTTTTTATTGGAATTATTGGTCTTTTTGAAATTAAGTAGTACTTTTTTAAAGGAAAACACTTTGTTCCGGTAGCGGTAGTGAAAACTATTTTATTACACATTTTATTCTTTCTTGTGATACACCACTGTTTTTGAAAAGCATCGATAAAATATGTAACTTCACTAGTTTGAATTGAATTGTAGTTGTCTTTATTACAATTTTTCTAAATCAATTAGTTTTGAGAAATTCTCCAAAAGCTACTCTTATAATCAATTAACGTATTTATTTTGTTTTTTTGTGTTATAAGGCTTATTATAATTATAAACCTAATTATAAAAATCTATGGGAAGTCTATGTTAAATATTTAGTTTTAAATACAATGGAGTCATGAAAAATTAAAAAAAATTATTTTGAGTTTTCCAAAAAATTATTGCTACACCAATGATTTTCTGGACTTTGGAAAAAAGAAGCATATTTCTAAAACGTATATTTCTTCGAATAAAATTAAAGAGAATTTTTTTCTTAGAAACGCTGCTATTAGAAATTAAAACCTCTGATTCAATATCCAAAATAGTCTTTTAGTGTGACGTCACATATTTAGGCAACCCGCAATAAATTGTCAACGTTGAAATTGTACAGATCGAATCTTACTCTTGTTTACTATTTATATAGAGTCCTTTACAAGGATTTAGAAGTAATTAAGAACAGCCAATACGTGTTTCGTAAAATAGATACACTAATGTGCTTAAAATTTACAAAAGTCGATATAGAGGAATATTCTTAAATTTAAATAAAGTAAAAATTTAACATTAGCCGTGTTATTCTTAATGCGCATGCTCGGGAAGAATAGCCTCATACGCAGGTGTGATCTTGTTGATATATCATCGCTGTAATCATTAGCATATTTTCTCTTCTTTTGATCAATTTTAGCATTTTCTAGTTCTACCAAGTAATTTGTATTGTTTTTCTTGATGCTCTGCTGTGTCAGTCTGTTTATCGAGTGTTTTTTTTCTTCAAGTGGTTTATTATAGAGAGCAGCAGCTGGTTAAGAGCAGAACCAAACTTTTCTTGAATGGTATCTTGTTGCGAGACTACCGTCATCTGGGGTGAAAACGGACGATTTTTGGGGTCTTTTACTGATAACTGGTACTCTTTTTATACAAAAAAATTCAAAAAAATAATATAGATAGCCTCATGTGTCTAGAATATTATGCGGTAAATAAAATATGCAAAAATTATTTACCGCATACTATTTTTTTTATTAAAGCTTGTCCGCCTTCGCCCCTATGTGTGGGGCAAACATGGACACCCATTTATTTTAATTGAAAACTCATCTTTTGGCATAGAAAAAGGCGAAGGCGGAAAAAAAATATGTAAAAAAAATGTTTTATTAAACGAAGTGGCATTAAATGCAAAAAAAACAATATTTTCAACAAAAACGCTTTATTCAAGGTTATGAAACAAAATATACCTTTTGCAGAAAAAACAAAAACAAAATCTTATGAAATTATTTTTTGGGTGATTTATTCAATTCGAATGTTTTTATATTTTTCTAAAATAGGGAACTGATGCCTGTCGAATACTTTTATAGCCCCTTTTTATATTTTCTAATGCCTTCTTGCAACCTTTTTTCATGATAGTTCATAAAATTCAAACCAACCTTCTTTTTA